AAGAAATTAAATTTTGTTTATATGAATAAAAAAATTTTAAAGCATCCGACCTAATAGTATTCCTAGAAACTTTTTTATATTGTGGGTTTACAAAATTACACAACCAATTTTCAAGCTTTGGATCTTCAGCTAATATAAATGGTTGTTCTGCATGTACAATATACTTAGGAAGTTCTTGTTTCATTTTTTCTTGTGAATATTTAAAAGTACCAAAACTGCTCCCCCTCCTAATTTGTGTTTGAGTTGTTTCTCTCCCTTCATCTTCTTCTTTCTCATGTGTGAGTAGATGTCTGCTCAAATGACCCGTACCACCCTTGCTATAATAACTAAAGTTCTTCTTACATTTTTGGCAAACAACCCTTTTCCCCTTTCCCCTTAATATCCGCTACTTTGAAAATTTTCCAAACCGGGCTACTCAACTTAGATGCTCTCCTTTTTCCCCTAGAATCAGTACTGAGGGTGAAAGTTCCACTTCCATCGACATCAATTGCATCCGTGCTAACACTATCATGATGCAATTGAATATCATCAATAGTGAACATGTTGGGGAATCGGTTTTCAGAAGAGTCGGCCATTTTTTTTAATTCAAAAAAGATAAAAATTAATCTAATTCGACTTACGCAGATTGCCGATTCAAAATCCCAACTTGATTTCAATGGTTGGAGCCTTTCAACGTCCAATCCTCCCAAATTGAGATACTTGAGCTGGTTGAGCAAGCCTTCTTCTTGTTGAAAGTTGAAACTTCAATAAAGTTGAGACTTGAGAATTGGAGAATACAAAATTAGACAATTAGCTAATCAGAATTACTCAGATTGCAGAGAATTGAGAATGTATGAGTATGAGAATGAGAGAGAAGAGATTAAGAAAATTGTTGAATTGGTGTGATGAGAATGGTGGAGGATAGGGCTATTTATAGGAATTGGACATAATTCAATTACCCAAAATACCTAAAAAACTAGTTGTTGGGAGGGGTATTTTGGTTATTGTAAAGTTATGCCACGGGCGGCCCGACCCGTTTACACATCTAATTAAAACTATAATAAAATGGTTTTTATACCCTTTCTCAAACAAATAAATAGAGGGTAATTTTAGTCCAAAAAATTTCACACTACATTCACACTTTTATATAGGGATGTCAATGGGTTGGGTTCGGCACGAGTTTACCTCAACCCTAACCCGATCCTCCAACACCCCAACCCGAAATCGACCCAACCCGAATTAAAAAAAACATGATTCCTGAATCAGACCCGACCTTATAGGATTTAACATGATTCCGACTCGACTTGACCGTATAATTTCGAATTTTTTAGCACAGTTTGAAGACCTAAAATACATTAATTTAAGTAAGGAAATTGTTTTATAAATTCTACGGTGTTGTTTTTTCCATTTAAAAAAAAAGAAGAAAACCCAATCAACATATAAATAAATTATAAATTTTAAGCCTATAATGTTAGAAGTAAAAAAATTGTAAAAATACTTGGTATATATACAGGGCATCATAGCCTAGTGGGGTGGGTCAACCAAAACCCTAACACAACCCGAACCCAACTCGGGTAAAAGAATCAAAACCCTAACTCGACCCTAAACCAAATATACTTAACCCTAACATGACCCTATAGGATAAGCCGAATTTACCATTTAACCCAACCCGTTGAGATCCCTATTTTTATATATAGTATAGATATAACAAATGGAGCCTTAATGTAAAAAGAGTTCCGTGCTTAAACTTTAAATTATGATTATGAATTAAGTATCCATTTTATTTCATAACTTTTCTCTACATATTTTGTTTTTTAATTTGTCACGCTATTATGTTTATCACTGATCCATGTGTCACCGTGAACTAAATTGGACAAACATGTAAAGGTGAATGCGGCTGATTTTTCGTGGGATGGGATGGTATCTCTTTGTTCACTCAGAGATGGTGATTGGGTCACTGGGTGGACCAAGTATTCAAGGGGTTGATGATCCAACGATCATTTTTTGATAAACAACCGATTTCATTGATGAACGACAAATAAAATTAGAAATTTAGGCCCCGTTTGGTTTACAGGAATAGAGGTCTGGAATTGGAATCGGAATGAGTTATGCCAATTTTAACTGTTTGATTGGGCAGAATTGGAATTTCAATCCCATTCCTGTTGGAATAGCATTCCCCCATATGAGGGAATGGTCATTCCTTGTTCTTCCCTTAGTAAAATCCCATTCCTACCATATGAGGGAATGGTCATTCCTTGTTCTTCCCTTGGTAAAATCCCATTCCTATTGATTTTAATTCCCATTCCCATTTTTGACTGAACCAAACAGATTATGGGAATGGATCATTCCGATTCTAATTCCGAAAGATTTTGATTCCAATTCCGATTACAAACCAAACAGACCCTTATTTAGATATGCATCCAGTCACCCTCACCCATCCTAAATAACAGCAAGCAATTACGATTACGATTCAGCCCAAAACAATTGATCCCTGTGCACTCTCCACTTATCCATATAATCCATTTACTGATCTCGCACTCCCTACTTACCCATACAAGTAGATTTGAGTTGAGCTAAATAGCTAGTTATTTGAGCTCAACTTGTTAAGGCAGTACGAGGCTCAAGTTCGAGCTTGAGTTCGGTTCAAGCTAGAACTTTGAACTTGAGCTTGACTTGAGTCAACAGCTCAACTTGAGAAAAATGTTTTATAAAAATAAAAAAAATTATATATAAAAATAATTTTTATTTGATATTTAAAAATTAAAAATTATAATAATTAGTTATTATTATATATAAAAAAAATATTATATACATAATATTTTTATTATATATTATATAAAAATAAAAATAAAAATAAAAATAAAAATAAAAATAAAAATAAATTATTATTATTATCATTATTATGATTATGATCATTATCATTATCATTATCAATTAATAATGATCATTAATATGTATCTATTTGAGCCGGCTTGCGAGCCTCAGGAACTGAGCTTTATCAGGCTCGAGCTCAACTGAATTAATAAACAAGCTTGTAAGTTGGGCTTGAGCTCGACTCGAAATTCGCTTGAAACCAATGTTTTCGAATCACCGTTGATCCGAATGGTCAGACCGTTCGGCTCAGAAACCATCCAAGCAAGCGGTTTCGTTTTACCCCAAACTTGAAATCTAATAAAAAACCATTGAAAAGTCAACAAACCATTGACCCGAGTGGTTGAACCATCAACCCGTTCAATGGTTTTGACCATTTTTTACTTTTTTTAATTATTTTTAATTTTGTTGTCATAACGAACCATCCATTCGAATCGGACAGTCGAACCGTCAACCTAAAAATCAATGACTAGAACGGTTCTGTTTCCATATTATTTTTTAAAATGTTGATTGAAACCAAGTTGACATGAGCTTTTCACGAGCAAAACTCGAATAGCTCATGAAGAGCTTGGCTCGTGGCCACCCCTACTTACCCATATAATCCATTTACTGATATCCTAACCTGGTTGAAGGTAGCTCCCACATTATTAGTTAAAGACTGATGTGATGTTTGGCATTGATGATGATTTCTCTTTGCCGATTATCTAGAAATCAGTGATTTCTGAACCAGTGATTTTTGAAAAATCATCAAAAATTATTGTTTGGTATCATTTATGTCATGTAAGTTGGTTTTTGAAAAATCGGCTGAGGTCATTGAACAATATCTGCTTAAATGCTGAAAACTCTTTTTGAGTCGAAGGTTGAGGTCATTGAACAAAACCCTTCATTCCATTTCAATAAACAAGGTCACATGTAACTCCACGTCACTTGTCCAAAATCAATAGTGCCCTGGCTTGCATGTATATATGGAAGAAAGAATAACTTGAGATTGTTCTTGTTCTCTGTTATTCTCCATGAAAAATTGAATTAGATTTTAAACTAGTATTAGCCAAATCAGCAATTGAAGAAGAAAAAGAAAAGGAACAAATATCAGCCGGGTTCAAGTCAGTCAGGTTAACCAACGTGGATCCTAGAACACATGATCCATTTGTATGGATATGTAAGTAGAGAACTGTCAACCTAAGGTTATTTTTTGCATCTTTTAGGGCCTGTTTGTCTTTTGGATTTTGAGAGAGGGAAAGTTGGTCAGTAAGATTTTAATTTTTATTGACCAAGATATCCATGTTCTTTTTACAGATTTATGTAGAGTCCATTGAAAATCTATTTTCCCTGGGTATCCATCTCCATGGTGGATAACTAAATTTCCCACCTGGGGGGAAAAGTTGCCAACAGTTGCATGAGACAAAATTGTCTCTTTTAATAATAGCTTTTTATGGCTAAAACGATTGTTCTCTTATTTACCTGAAAAATAAAAAAACATGGGTAAATGCACTTACCCAAGTAAATGTCTCCTGGGAAATACTTACCCGGATAAATAACTTCCCCCAAAACGAATGAGGCCTTAGTTGTATCAGGAAACAAATTTACCTCTAGGTTGTTTTAACTAGTTCAGAATTTGATACCTGATATTTGCTTGCTTCCTCAGACTGTGCAACTTGGGCATTTGAACCCTAGGCAATGATATTTATTGAGATGGGTGAAAGGAAAAAACTAGAAATTAAGGATAGGATGGGAGATGACCTTCTTGGAAGGAACCTAAAGAGTGGCTCCAATAGATAATCAAGGAAAGTAGACTAAGTGCTAGTTTGGGATGTTTTCCTGCAGTGGATTCTGGTATTGCAAGGTAGGCTCCACACAGAAAGCCAGATAGTTGTTTTAGGTGAAAACCCCAAAAAGTCAAAAAAAGAAAAAGGTTATTGAGCTGAGAAATCAACTTCCCAGTGAAACTAGTCTTGGTTGCTTCTCCAAGGCCACTCAGTCAACGTAGCTCAATCAACGCAGACGCCCTCCCAACCTGGCTCTAAGCTTATTTGGTAATATGAAGAGAAGGCTATATGCAGAACAAGTGAGAAGAAGTGATCTGTTATAAATTAAAGTCTAAAAGTGCAGGAGGCAGAACAAAAACTGATCCAAGGGCCATAACTATACTATTAGAAAATTTTGAGATTCTTGCTATCAAAGATGTTCCAGACAGAATGTCAATAAAGCTTGCAAATTTGCCATTGGTTGTTGAATATGTAGAAAACAAATTGTCACTTAAATGTCTATTTTGATGAGACATTGACAATTAGACCAATGAGCCACATAATAATTGATCCTAGAATCCAACATATAAACAAAAATACTACAAGACCTGCCAGTATAGTAAGGAATGGAGGGCCTTCACTTCCAGCAGTTTCAGTTCCCTTGGTTTGTTCCTTGCTGGAATCTCCGCCTGAAGGATTGGTGCTCGAAGCAAGCACTAAAGGCAGCCTTTGCCTAAGTCGTACATTTACAGCATTCACAAATCTGAAAATAAGAGTTTATCAGTGAGCTTGGGGATAAAACAATACATAGATCAATGTTGTCAAAGGCATTTAGTTGCTATCACATCAAAACAAATCAATCCATGCACATATATTTATATACCAATAGATATGTGGGGCTTAACATATTAATGTCCATAATTTCAAGCAAGAAATTAGAAAGAAATGGTGCCTACATTATTTATACATGCTTGAGTGATAAGCTTGCAGCAGTATATAATCTGATCCATCCCATTTTCTTGTATTCGCAAGGTGTTTTCCTTATATATCAGTATCACTTGGTCCCCCTTACTTTTACTTTATAGGTTCTAATATGATAAACTGTAAATCTCTCAACATCAGTGACCCAAACCCAGAGAAACCCCCAAAAAGTTATAGCCACTTCAATAAACCAATTCAATTGGTTATATGGTTAACGTAGAAGCAAAAGCTCGAGCTAAACCTAATAGCAATGAGAATTGAGACAATCACCAAAAAACCAGAGGCCACTCTAATAAGTGAAAAAGAATTTATAGGGCTAAATAATTACAACAGCCCCTGTGATTTGAGTGATACAATTGACGACAGGGGAAGAGACAAACAGCTCTTGCTAGCTTTAGCTAGAGAACATTAAATGAACAATGAAATTTGAGACAGATTAAATCAAAAAAGGGAAAAGAAAAGAAAATATCATCTAATGAAGTTATACTCATCCCCAGTGTCATTTGCCTCATAATAATATAATGAAGTATCCGAAACGTATAATGCAGCGAACTACATCTTTCTGCATAACTGAATGTTAGTCTAGTAGCCTCGCCTCTGGTCATGGACGAACTCACATAACATAAGCCATAGCCTTTGGCAGCTGAGGCGACAATTGAAGTAGAAATCCAGTGTAAACGTAGGTGCAACAAATAAGTGGTTATATAGCTAAATGTAAATATATGCATTCAATCGAGGAATTCAGAGAAAGTAACCTGAAGTTTAATTGTGCAACGATCAAGCTGAAACATACTTAAGAGACACCCACCATCTTATTTCCCAAAAAAAAAAAAAAAAAAAAAAAAGAGATACCTGATATCTAGGAAATCTCAATCTTCCTATCTCTCACTCTGTGATTCGTATAAACCAGAATCAGATTATCCAAATCAAACCAGAATACATTTTTTCCGCATAAGCAGATAATCTACCGTAAAACCCTTTTCTCAAAAAAAGAAGAAAAACCACGCAAGGAAAAAAGAAAAGCAGACAACTACCTGAAGCTTGAACTGTTAAGAGGAATTTTGGCGCTAACTTTGGAAACAGTAATGGCGGGGATTTCAGATCTGGTGTTTAGCCGTTGAAACCCTCGAGCAAATGTGGTTGGAAGAGAGGAAGCGAGAGTAGCCATGATTCCTAACTAGTGTGTGCGACAGTATGACTGTTTCATTTTAGATTTTACAGCAAAAATGAAGACATAATATGATATGTGGTTCAGAAAATAATAAAAAAAACAAAATCAAAATGACGATGCATGAGATCAATCCGCCACGTGGCACTAATGGACACCTATCACACGGTGAAAGCAAGTGTAGGATTAAAGTTGAGAAAAGAAAGTGCAGAGGGTCCAGAGTCAGACTGATAGTGTGTTTGCTGCGGAAGGCTGAAACTATACAACCCATGTAACGCTCGTTTTCTACAAAATCAGCGCCGTTAATGTGGTGTACTCGTTCATTGACGTTTGACAAATCTTCCATCTTCGACGCTGTATGATTCAACGGCAGTGAGTATATACTCATTTGGCCCAGCTTTTGGTTTAGACCTGACGGCTGAAATTACATTGCTTAAGGTCATTCACTCATTCTGGTGTGGTGTAACGCCTCGTAATGGAAATTTGCATCTCGCTGGGTTGATCAATGGACGGATTTAATAAACTCAGATAATAGAATTTATCGCCGAATATTATCGATTGGGGATGTAGCTCAAACGGTAGAGCGCTCGCTTTGCATGCGAGAGGTACGGGGTTCGATACCCCGCACCTCCAATTTTTATTTCTTTATTCTCCAAAGTCTAAACCGTAATAATAAATTAAGTTGGGGAGGCCGAAGGAGCCCCTAATGCTTCGGCAAAGATCATATTGAGTGGTTGAATCTCAATGGTTTTTGACAATTTTTTATTTTTTTTAATTTTTGTTGTTAGGATGGGCCATCCGTTTGAATCGGAGGGTCGAATCATCGACTTGGAAATCGGTGGTTAGAATAGTTTCGTTTCTGGGTCAATTTTTCTAGATGTCAATAATTAGACGAAATAACTTGTAGTCGTAGTAATGGGAATGGTGGACATTGCAAGGGATTCCAAAACTTTGAAAGATAAATCCAAAGTAACCTTAAACACAAAAAAAAAAAATGCGGTAAATCCACCAAATTGGAAATAACACGTATGATACTACTTAATGGACCTCACACGCTCAATTTTTTGCCTGTAATTTTTGTTGTCAAAATGGGCCGTCTGTTCGAACCAGACAATCGAACCGCTGTTTTTTTATATTTGTAATTGAGATCTGTCCAAGCAACCGGTTCCGTTTTACCCCAATCCTGGTACCTGGCCAAAACTGTATTGGTCAATGACCCATTGACCTGAGTGGTCAAACTGTCGACCCATTAACCCGTTCAATGGTTTTTGGCCGTTTTTTATTTTTAAAATTTTTGTTTATCAGAACGGGCCGTTCGTTCGAATCAAACGATTGGGTCGTTCGTTCAATGCTTAATGGACCTCACACGCTCAATTTTTTGCTTGTAATTTTTGTTGTCAAAATGGGTCGTCTGTTCGAACCAGACGGTCGAACTGCTGTTTTTTTATTTTTGTAATTGAGATCTGTTCAAGCAACCGGTTCCGTTTTACCCCAATCCTGGTCCCTGGCCAAAACTGTATCGGTCAATGACCCATTGACCTTAGTGGTCAAACTGTTGACCCATTAACCCATCTAATGGTTTTTGGCCGTTTTTTATTTTTAACATTTTTGTTGTCAGAACGGGCCATTCGTTCGAATCAAATGATCGGACCGTCGACCGAAAAATCGGTGGCTAGAATGGTTCCGTAATTTTTATTGTCAGAATGGCCCACACGTTTGAACCAGATGATCGAATCGTCGACCCAAAAACCGATGGTAGATAAGATATATAAGATTCCTTATATTTGCTTCTTGTAATTTGAGAATTTTCAATGAAGAATCTTATAAATATTAAAGGGAAATCTACTGCCATTTGGCAAAAGAGGAGATCGCCCCTTTCCCATATATATATATATATATAAATTGAATGACTTTATCAAAGTCATTTCAAATTCATTTTAATAATATCTAATATTTTTACTAATGAGTATTTTTGTCAAAAATATATTCAAGTTAAAATTTTCTAATTCAATTTTAGGGATTTTTAGATTGCACTCCACCTCATAATTCTGATTTGAATTGCAGACCTACAACAATTCAAAATTATAAACAACTCCACTTATAACACACACACGGACACACCCGCCTGTAAATTGGCATCAATTCCAAACTGGCACCTACCTCACTTGTATGGTGGAGCTAGGAATTCTAGGGGTGGATTGAACAGTGAAAACCCCTTCATTTTATTTATGAGACCTCTTTCCAACCAACCAACTACAAGTTTTCCTTCTAGACCATTTCCTCTTTGAAGAGCGAGATCAAATCAGCCCCCCACAACGTCCCATAGCACATCCCTATCGTGTATTGGGAATATCTCCCGATGATAATACCAGAAATGATGATGCTATCATCGAGAGATGTTCCCAATATACAGTGTAGATGTGTTGTGGGACGTTTGTCTGGGGCTAATTTGAACTCCTGAAGAGCTCCACGAGCACCATAAACCTTCCTCTAGTATTCTTCCTCCTTTTGTCACATACCTCCTGCCATTACCTTCTATTAAGTCTTTGCATTCCAGCTTCGGACCCAGTTGAGTGGCTTCTTCCATGAAATTCTTGAACCACATTATCACCTCTACCTCTACTAAGAATATCAACTTTGAACCTAGTTGAGTGGTTTCTTTCATTAAACCCCTGATTAGGGTTAGAGTCGGGGATGGGGATTGAGGTCCCCGCCCCAACTTGACCCCGATTATATATTTATATATATATATATATATATCAAAATATATTTAAAACATTATTTATAATTTAAAATTTTTATTTATTTTAAGTAAATTTATTTTTCAAAAAATACTATTATCTAAAAGAATTTTGGGGATTCGGGAACCCAGGGGGAACCCATCCTCATCAGGGATCGGGGATGGAGGACAAATTTTATCCTTGGCGGAGATCGAGGATGGGGGTTAATTTTAGAATTGGGGGAGGGGACAGAGAATATGATCCTTGCCCCGAACCCCTCCCGTTTCCATTCATAATTAAGTGTATTAAATTTTAACGTCATAAATAAATAATAAAAATTAATAAAATATAAAAATAAAAAATAAAAAAATACATACATTTTGCAAAAAAAAAGCATTCGGACACATATATTTATCATATTAAACAAAAAATAAGTGTAAAATATCAAAATTAGTTTTATACACAAAAATACAAAAAAAAACTATAGTAAAAATTGAGCACATCTATAATTCTATATTTACACTATATTAAAAATATGAATAAAATCGTAGAATTTTCTTTTTACTAAAATACTCATTTTTGAATTTAGTCCCTATTTAATTATGTGGTTTAAATTGTAAATTGAACTAATACTTTTCACCACATTCAATTCACTCTATTTAAATCTTACATATTTTTATAAATAAACAAAAAAAAAATCGTACAAAAAAAAAAGAATATTACAAAATGAAGAATCTAGCCAAGGAGTAGGGGTGCAAATGGATTGGATAATTTATATATGTATGTATGTATGTATGTATGTATGTATGTATGTATGTATGTATGTATGTATGTATGTATGTATGTATGTATGCATGTATGTATTATTTATATTACATTTTTATAAATTTGTTATATTTTTTTTACAAAAAATGTATATATATGATGGAAATAGCTGAAAAGATACTTGTATTTTTTGTTTTTCTTTATTTAAATTGTTATATTTTAATTTTCTTTTAATATTTTATTGTTTTTAAAATTATCCAAATATGTAACTTCCTCATTGGATTTGTATTCAAAACCATGTTTATGAAATGCGATCAAATCTAATATTAATAAAATTGGATCAGATTCGAATATACCCTAATTTGAATCCAATCCAATCTGTTTGTATCCCTACTAAGCAGGTAGGCTTGTCAATGACACTTGAAGCTTCACAATCCAATCCAATTATTACATATTTGAATGAAATATTTATATAATCAGATTTAGATTTTACAATTTACATCCGATTAATAATAATAAATATAAAATATAAAGAAAAATTATAAATATATTATTACAATCATTATCATCACTTACAATATATTATTCTTAATACATACAACATATAAAACAAAATGTGCGCTGTACATTTTCATGTCAACCCTAACCTACTCCGTAAAGTGCAGACGAAGCTAAATTAAGGCCTTTCTCTAATTCTCTCCAATATTGACTTTCATTTCTAGTCATACATAGGGCCTATCAGAATTCAGAACTCAAAAGGTCGAGTTCTATTCTTTTTCTCTCAATTTGTTGAGTCCCTTTGACTTTGCTAAATCTGCAACTACATCATTAAATTTGTATTCAATAAGAAATGAACTTGCAAGTGTGCTATATGAATATTCTGAAGCCCACTATCCTCAATAGACCCTACCATCATCAATAGACCCATCCTACCATGCCAATTCTAAATCATTGATCAGTCAGCTGCAGATAGATATGCAGACAAGTCAATCACATTAACATTCAAAACTACAACTAGCTATAACTTTGGTGATGGTGTGGCTTTAATAAGTTTTTGTGTGCCCAACAGCTCAAGGCGTAGTCGATGGATTGAAGGAGACGTTTTAAAAGATAAAGCAGCTCGATATCGCTGGTGGGGATCGAATGGAACACTATTTGGGAGTGAGGCCATAAAACTGATGGATGGATGGATATGCTTCCAGTTCCAGACCTGGACAGGCATGCATCAAAACCCAATTACTGTCCAGTGAAACCAGACATCTCCAGAGCTCTCTCTAGTTCAAAACAGTGATGTTAATGGTTAGATCTGGGAAGCAGTACTAAGAACGTCCGTCCGACTTGTTTAGAATCTGGGTCCAGTTAAATTAATCTCCGTTTAGGCCAAATTTTGTAATTGTATAACATTGAATTTAACAGTCTAGATCAATTAGACAGTAGACCACTTGCATGAATTGAACACTGGGCTCCATTGAATGATCACCTTAAGGCACAGACCCGTCGAAACATCAATCTCAGAATTATTTAGAAAGCAGTGACCTTTACAATACCAACATCATCACTTATTACATTAACGAATTGTAGGCTTCAATTGAGTAGGTGGGTCAGATCTGCAAGCAGTTTTTGATTAAATAAACTTGCAAATTCCAAATAGAATTGACCTCTTGTACCCAAGTCAATTTTTTTAATAGCTATCTTGCTTTTATGTCTATCTTTTTTTTTAAATTAATTTTCTCCAATATAAGCAAATAAATTTCTATCCCTTTCCCTATAAACTTGGGTGATTAGGACTTGTCATGTATGGAACACAATTTTGGAATCATCAACCCTTCCTTTATTGGTGTGGTGGCATAACGGCAATGGTCAGACAAAGGCTGCTGGTTATTGGGCGGAGGACTCTTTTATAGCTGCTACACAAAGCTGAAACTCACCCAATAAATTGACGCTGGAGAAAGGTTTTTAAAACCGGACCTTACATGGAACCGTTCTGGGTTCGGTTCCCGAGTAGAATAAAAAGATAAAAACTGTTGTCCGAATCGATGATTCAACGATTTAATCAACGGTTTTTGGTAAAAAATTATTTTAGGGTGAAACAGATCAATTCCCGGTTTTCAGTCCGACTATCCGGTTCAATCCGGGTTTAAAAACACTGTGCTGGAGGCTGAAGAGGGCTGAAGCTTTGATTTAGTGAGCCGCTTTGAAGAATTTACAGAATTTCATGTTTTAAAGAAAATAATGAAGGGAAATCTCTTCCTTAATTGTCTTAATTTTCTTTACTTTCCCTTCCCTTTCTTTCAAATCAAACACAGCTGCCTAGAGAATTATTCCAGGAAGAAGCGAGAGAGGGATAAGGAGATAATATAATTCACTCGATCATCTAATGAAAAAGGAACTAGAAAGAAGAACACTAAAAGGTCACCACCGTATTAGCACTCCCCTACGTAAAGCCCAATAATTCTTTCAAAGCTATATCATTTCCAAGAGAGATGAGGAGAGATGAGCTTCTCCAAACCCATCCATTTCAGAATCATCAAAACCTTTGATAAAACTATCAAAATCGAATCCGCCCAAGTAGTCAGTCGTCGAGTTCTCACATCTCCACATCTCTTCTTCCTTGATAATTCTCCCCTCAGCATAACCGTAGCCTGAATTGTTGAACCCGTCCGTCAACTCGGTGATCGCTTTGGTGGACTCTTGCCCTGCTGCAATGAACCTCGACTTCTTCTTCCTGCCTCTACGGTCGGTGGGTTTCCCGGTGAGTCTTTGTACAAGCTCCCGGAAGTTAGCGGCGTCGGTCTGTATGATCTCCGGTGCAAATATGTGGATTATGCGGATCTTCGGTTTGAATTTGGATACTACGTACGAGTCCCTGTGCATAGCTAGTGCCGAGGAAACGGAGTTGGGCTCACATACGTGTGGTTTCATCATCTCTTCCATGTTTGGATTGGAATTGGAGGCAGAAGAGACAAGGGAAAAGGAAAGAGTTTGGGGCGAGAGGTGGGATGGAAGAGGCTAGGGGAGTTATTTGGTTGGAACAGGATGGGTGAGGTTGGTAGGTTTATATAGAGGTAATAGAACATTGAAGGCTTAATTAGGAATATAGAATAGGTTAATTGGATGAATAGATGAATTCTAGTCTGATGCAAGCTAGAAAGTGCCAATAAATTATAGAGATACCGCTTAGAAATAAATACATTGAGGGAGGGAGATGAATTGACCGATCATACTTGACATAATGACCAGCATGCCCTTCACTAGCTTCTAATTTCACAATCCTATGTTATATAATGTTTCTTGAATTCATTTGCGGATATCTTGTGGTGGTAAATTGGTCAGTTAGATAATTAATTAACCAATTTTAACGTTGTTATATATATATATATATAATGGATTCCACTGTAAAAAAATTTTTCCGCCGAGTACCATCTTGGAAGATGGATAAATTATTTAACCTTCTGTTGAAAACGCCAATCTTTTCCCATCTTTCTTTTTATCCGGGTAAGTGAATACGTAAAAGAGCACTGGTACCAAAATTACTTGATAACTTTTGTGTGAATAGATTCGCTTATGTATCTAAGTAAAAGCCAAAAAGAATGAGGCCAAATATTACCCTGATCCAAATTTTCCTTTTCTTGGTTGACAGATTTGAATCCTTCAATCTTTCTTTTCCCCTACCCCTTCACGATTTGGTAATTCTTTGAGAGTATAAGGGTCACATGCGTCACCATATTTCTCTTTTCTTCACCGACTCTATACTTACTACGCGTCGTTGGAAATTCAGGAATAATAATGATATATAAAAAAGAATTGAGGCTGTGTTAGCGGATATGAATGGTTTTGGTTTCTAAAAGTAAAACAAAAACGACTAATTAATTGATTCTTGAAACACAAAACTACCTCAAGTCTTTGACATATTTCCGCGTTCTCAGAGCTAAAACTGAGTCAATTTTGTTCTTTCTTCTCTCTCATATACATTAACCTAAAAGGTTATTACCCAATTCTAGCTCTCGCTGCTATCTCTCGCAGACTGGGGAATGGGGATTTGGGGAGGAGGTGGGCCGAAAGCCGAAAGCCGAAAGCGAGGCTAAAATTTTAACATGGAGAATGGTTGCTTCCAGAGTCTCATCTCTCAGACTCGAACCTGCATTTACACTAGAAGTTGTGTTGAGACATTATGACACATTCTGGTGCTGTGCTATTCAAAAGGCTCCCATGGGGAATTCTTACATATCATCAAAATATCAAAAAATAAAAATAAAAAAAAGGTAAATTTCTAAAATGTCCCTTAAAAGTTTTGGCTGCTGCTTAAATCTCTTCTAAATTTGATAATTGCAATTATTTTCCTTCAACTTTGAAACATAATTTTGCAAGTAGAACTCTTCAAATAAGAGGTATGAAAATATTTTAGGAAAGGTTTTAAGCAATAGCCATACCCTAAAATAAGAAGAAAAAAAAAAAAGCAAAGATGATTCCGTCGTACGGGTACGGGTACAGAGTACCCTCCCACTCGCTTGCTTAATTGCTTTGCTCCCCGATACAGTATCGGGCAAGGTGGTGCCGGCAGACGGGCAGAGTGAAGATGGGGACGAGATAAGGTACATTAACTCAGAACAATTTTTAATATTCACTCGTACACAGAACTGTCCTATATATATATATATTTGAGGGTTTGTTTTTCTAATCTTTTGTCAAGTGGCACAACTTTTTCTCACTTTCTCCTAAATTGTCTCTAATTCTTATTTATCTCTTATTTAGTAGAGAGATTCACTCCTAAACTATCTCTAATTCTTATTTATCATCTCCCCCACTTTTTATATACATCTACCTAAAGAAAGATTCAGTTAAAAAAAATTATAATTATTTAAATATTATAACAAAATTATATATTAACTTTAAAATATTTATTCAAAACACAAAAATTAATTACAATAGATTTAATAATTAATAATTCTATGTTTTTACAAAATTCATCATGAAATTACATAGTAACAATATAAATTATACTTTTATGAATTATTCAACTTAAATGTTATTCAAATAATACAAACTTAACATTAAAAATAAAACATAATTTAAATATTTGAATAACTAAATATCTTAAATAAAAACATTAAAAATAGCTAAATAATTATATAACAAAATATTTAATATTACATAATCACATTAAAATAAATAAAATTCAAATAATGAAAAAGTTTAAATATTTTACATATTATTTAAATATTTAAATAACAAAATATTTAGCACGACTAAATTTTAAATAGTTAAAATAATGAAATTATGTAATAAATTTAAAAAATCTTAAAAGTAGAAGAATAATTATAATAGATTTAATAATAATTTAATATTTTACAAAATTAATAACAAATTATGTAATAAGTACTAAATATAATTTTACGAATTATTAAATTCAATAAATAATTGATATTTTAAAATTTTAAATAATAATATTATTTAAATAACTAAATAATATTGTCAATATCTAATTTCATAATATTTATATATAGTGTATATTCATTATACATATACTAAAATTAAAATTTATTGTATTTTCTGGAATTATTTATTTTATTTTTTGATAAATATGTTTCCAATAATTATTTATAAATCTGTTTTTGTTTTGTTATTTAAAATAAAATTATTAATAATTATTGGATGTTGGATATTAAATAATTATTATTTAAATTATGAAATTTAATTTATTATAGTTATTTCTTATAATTTATTGATTAATATTTATTAGAGATTAAACTATTATTTGAGATAACACTATTTATTGATTAATTTAATATATTTTTAGTATTTATTGTATTTTGTAATTATTATATTTTTATTATATATCTATTGTATTTTCATTATAAATGTATTTTCAATATTTGTGTATTTTTGTATAAATTTTCAATAATTATTGGAAATTAAACTATTGTTATTTATTAGAGATTAGACTATTAATTTAGCTAAAATTAAGAGTCTTCAAGTGTTTAAGGATTGGCTCATTTCGGTTGCTCACTAACCAAATCAACCTGCTCAAGTTGGGAGTTTGTCACCCGAAATTGATTGACCATTAGTGAAAAGCCAACTGGTTGTATTGGTTTGGGTCTATTTTTGGTTTAGTTTGTTTGTTCAAAAGATTTAAAATTAAAATTAAAATTAAAATTTAATAAATTACAGTGGTATTATTAAAAAATAAATTAAAAATTTTAATTTATGATATAAAATATTTTAGATTAAGAAATATGGGAATTTTCCCACTTTCTTGTATTATAAAATATAGTAATATATATATACATATACATATACTAGAAATGGCCAATTTTGGTCGGTTTACAAAAGACCAAACCAAAACTGACCTAACTTGGTTGGGTTGGAAAATTGTTGAACCAAAGCCAATCGAAAATACTAGAAAACCGTCCAACTCAAGTTGAATTCTACTGGATTAATTATTAAAAAGGTTAAAATATAAAACAATTATATACTCTTATTATTTTTATTGTTAATCTTTCACTTAACAAAACCCATGCATCACATGGATCCTCACTACTATGAAAATAAAGCAAGAGTTAGGGCCACTAAAGCATGAAAATACAGTGAGTGGTGATGGTCTCGATTCAAGGCTGACAATTCTTGACTTTGAGATGTCAACCAACTTGGACATCTTCTATCTATTTCTTAATAAAGCCCAGTTCTCGATGGAACCAACCACACTAACCACTTGAAAAGGGAGGGGAGAGAGATAGAGAAGAGGTAGCTAGGTCTAATGAATTTAGAATCACTTTGATAGATTAAATCCAGAACCATATAGCTTGATTAAGTATCCGTTTGTGAGGACCTTCATGCAGCAGCTTTTTTTAATGTTTTAGCGATTGCTAAGAAACTGAAAAAATCAAAAACAAACTTAGGATCCATTTGGTTTGCAGTTGGAATTAGACTTAGTTTCTTAGAATCGGAATTGCAATGACTCTATTTCTATTGTTTATTTGGTTCTAACATGAATTGGAATATTGGAATGGGATTTCATTCTCAATAGGGATGTTAACGGGTTGGCTCTGACCCAATGGACCCAAATAAATTGGGTTGATATGGTTCCAAGAACTGAAATTGATTGGTCAATTAACTCCAGTTCTTAATATATTGTTCCGATTATATCCGTTCAGAACTGATTCAACGGAGTCCCGAATTGACTCAGACCTGATTGTCCTGAGAACCAGTTGGATTGGTTTTGAGTGTCAAATTACAAACCCTATTAGGTCAGATTCAATTTCGGTTCTATCTAATTCTCAAGGAAAAGAGAAGAAATGCCTATTCCGTCAAATAGGGAAATGCCATTCGAGCATAAAGGAAAATGGAATTTAGATTCCATCCAACTAAACAATTGAAATCAGAATGATTCCCATTCCAAACCCTATTCCTATGAATTAAACCGAGTCTTATACCCTTATATTAATAAAAAAATCAGACATTATCTCAAATAATTTCTTCGAAACGCCTCAGTCAATACAGCTCAACCAACGCAGAAGGCCTCCTAAACGCGCCCTAAATTTATTGTAACACAACGGCAAAGTCGCAAAGATTTATCAAGTATTAAACCACGGTGTCCTTCCTAACTGACTTGTGTCATGTTGGTAGGGGTCAGAAAATTAATTATGCACATCAATATGCATGACGCAAGGCCATGACATAAGACTCAAACTTCCATGCCACCTTACTAACTATTTCTTTTCTTTTTCTTGTTGCTTTTAAATTTGCCACATCATAAAAGTGAGAAAACTACAGTGCAAATACTTTGTTTTTTAATGATAAAAAATCTAGTTCATATATAAAAAAATTGGTAGGTTAATTTACTTACTGTTTCATCAAACCATTCAAAAGAAATGCAGGAAATGGTTAAGCCATTGCTTTTATATTTTCCCCTCAATTACCCAAAAAAAATAAAAAAAATGCAATCAAAGAACTGATCACTTTGGTTGACCGACCATTTTTATTTCGGATATCCTACTCTCGTGCATGCAAACAACCATACCCTCGCAATTGCTTATTTATTTGGGCATGTTCCTTCCTTCTTATTAGGGTATTATCATTAATTTATTAATTTTTAACTTTATTTTAGAATTCATTTTTTTGGTATTTATCCTTGCAAGTTGAAGGTTGTGAACTTAGATCCCTTCTCACCAGAAAAAAAGAAACAGAAATGAATACATTTCATAAATTAAAATAAACCAAGAGGATGTCAAAGAACAAAAACCATTTAACAGAACCAGCTTAAATAATAAAGTTCATCTATTTTTTTTTTATAATTTAATGATGTATATATATATTATATATATATATATATATATATATATATATATATATGAACTAATATTAGTTTTGTGGTAACAAATGATCCAATAGTTGAGCCTACCGCTCACTGTGTCTTCATATGGATCAAATCTGTGTAACCGCAGGCTCTCCGTCGTGGTAAGGTTAGTGTGCACCTTGCTCTATTCATCCCTTAGGTTATGTTTGGTTTGAAGGAAAATGTAGGGAAAGGAAGGGAATGATAGGGAAACTCATACAAAGTTAATTCTTAACAATAAGCAATTTGCAAGTAAATGTGTTTTAAAATGACCAAATGGTGCTAAAATTACATGTCCACATTAACCCACTCAAATAAATATTCTTTTTAATTGCAGATATTTGTTTTTTCCTTAATATAAACGTCTCTAAGTTTGTCTTGGTTTGGCAAGTAGTAAGTCATCATTGGTTAAAACAAAACCAGGTAACAACTTCTGGAAATGAGAAAGAGAAGACCTTCACTTAAAAGTCGTCTCTGTTGTAACCACTCTCTCTTTTTAAAATTGTAGAAACTCAACTTTCACCATCACCATCACCATCACTATCACCATCACATGTGTGTAGAGGGTGTTTGGCATGCCTATATCTTATGCCCCTTTCGTAGATAAATATGGAGTAAGAAGTGTTTTATTATTAAAAATATTACCATAATTTTTCAACCCCAAATTTTATTATTCGAGGAGGGGCGGCTATCTTAAAATTTTATTAACTATTATTGAAAGAAAAGAAAAGAAATACAGGAAAGGACATAGCCCGCCTTGCCCCTCACCCATAATACCAGATTCTCACCCTGATAAACTCAACCCTCAACCCAACCCCAAGTACAATTAATAGAAATCAATCACCTATGCGTTCTTCTTGCACTTCCATTCAATCTGTGAAAAGTGAAGGGGTTTTGATCAAAGTTCTTCCAGTATCATACCCATCCACTGCCATTCTTAAGAGTTAACCAATCAAACCTCACCCTCCCCCATTCTGAATTTTGATGAATGGTCGGTCTTGTTTACTAAAACAAAAGCAACTACCATGTCAGCAACTGATTCACTCAGGTTGACAAAATTATGGTGGACTTTGATAAATTTTAAAGGGAAAAGACTAAATTAAGGGGGGGGAGGGGGGGTCACCAATGTGAATGGCTTTGTTTTCTACAAAAACACATGTGAAGAACACTCCCTTATCGTAAGCAGACTAATTTATTTATTTTAATTACTGATTTGTTGGAGGATGAAACTATTTGGTGTCCAACTGGAAATTAGTCAGCCCTCGTGCGATAGAAAGCCTGTGGTATGAATGCTCTACTAATGGTTGATCAAAAATATATATTAATATAAGAGGCAATGCCATTTTTACTTGAAGACTAGGACATAGAGAAACTATCAACCATAAATGGTTCCCTGACTACAGCATGACAGCTCTTGTAACAGCCAATGGAGCTCTTTGCGATGGAGACAGTTAATATTTTGTACAATAAGAGATGACCTCAGGGCGCCCAGACATTATAAGGTTTGTGTATGTTAGATGCCAAGAGGTTGATCTTCTATTTGATAGTTCCAAGATTGCCTGACTGAATTATCCTAGCTAACAACCGGCTGAATGATATCTTGGACAGTTCAGACAGGAAAGAAAAATGTGTAAGATGGTTAATATATATATATATATATATATATCATGTAACTAGATCAGTGTTTTCTCAAAGTCCAGTCATTGAGGGCCCCTTTATATGTTTATTTAAGCCCAGAACACCAGAGACTTCTAAAGCTTCGTTCAAACACCTACGTAAATAGGCTTAAATCCAGTGGTTAGTCTTAATCCTGGGATCGGCCTTGGCCTCAGTCTTCTAAGCCCGTCCTGAGCCAACTCATAATTGCCTATAATTTATTGTTCATTGATGAGGAATTGAGGATTATGATGACCAGGCCTGTTCAATCCCAGCCCATATAGCGCAGTGCGTTGCCATTTGTCTAGATGTCTCGCAATCTGCTGAGTGCAAAAGCTAAGGATTTGACTCAGAAGAATTAGTTAAGTATGAGAAGAACCTTCCAACATTGGAGTTAATGGTAGTCTGAATTCATTTGGCTAAAAGAAAATTTTCCTTTTCTTTTATTGTGCTCCGAGAAGGGGAAAATATCATGCACTCTTCTCAATTAAAGCCCATAGACAAAGGCTGCATTTAGCATTTCTTATTTTAAGGACTTTTCTCTTTTTTGCTGTTGAAATGCCCCTATGAACACTTGAGTTTTTAACTGCAAAAGGAGATAAGTCCTTAAAATAACTTAAAATGGTTCTATGTCCAATTTGATTTTGAGAACATTGTTTGTTACTACAATTTTCTCCTAGGGCACAGTTTGTTTTCAGTGCTAATTTCATTTGCACGGCTGTAAATGCATAGAAGTGTAAATTCTGATTTATATTTGTTTCAGGCTTGAAGTTGTCCTCACCAAGGGTTGATCGTTTCCATCCTAGACCGGCTCAGCCCAGAATTTTTGGGCTTGGTCCAGGGCCCAATACTTCAAGCCAGCATGACCCAATACATGTGGTCTATTTTATATTATATTATATATTACATATTATATTTTATAGATTATAACAAGAAATTTAGTCATATATATATATATACCCAAAACCTGACCTGGCCCATGATTACCCGTATTCCCACCTTATATGAAAGAGAATGGACGTAGGAGGCAGGTTATTTTATTTAGGAGGAATTGGGAAGAAAGATGATGTGATTCCAACTTAATATAAGAAAGAGTTGAGATAGGAGGTAAGCAATGCAAATTTCATCAGTTTTTGTGATGCAAAAGCATTGTCAGTGAGTGCAAATGAAAAGTGAAAGTGCAAACTTCGTGATAGATAAGAGTAAATCATAAATACAAACAAATAGATACAAAACTAAACCGGGGTGCAAAATTTATATCCCATTCAGATATACATTGCAAACAAAGAAAGCGTGCGTGAATACTCCTTCCTAATACAATGGCTCTAGTATACTGTTATCATAGTATTGCTATGGCAGCTCGAAGAGGGGAGCAGGACCTAATTCAGAAACCCCCACTTCATCTTGGTGTTCAATCCATTTAAACCTTTCGATGACATTAGTTGAGAAGATGAATGGACTTGGCATTATGAAAAAACCGACGAGAACTAAGGTGAGAGAGGGGAGAATGTTATGTTCCAAGATGATTAACATGAATACACGATGTATCTTATTCTCTAAAGGTCGGGTTATTTAAAAAAAAAACAGGAATGGATTTATTCTTCGAAAGCTTAAAATCACATTTCATTATGTAGTTGTCCGTTAATTTAGGTTATAACGATATGCTCTCTAAATTGCAATATCAAGGAAAAGTAACAAAATCTAATTCCAAGTGGGTTGCAGACATGAGACACCCAAGAATTTATTTCTAACTAAGCAGAATTCCTACACAGTAAGAAACACAAGATTAGACCAACTAGGGACTGTAATACACCCACTTTCTTCTAGACGGTCCACACACATGTAATCGAAATGAATTATGACGAACTTAAGCCATTCCTTCCATGTTCCATGCTAGAGAGAGAGAGAGAGAGGAAAAGCTTCCTAACTGCTTTCCATCCATCATGATCTTCATTGCTGGTGGCGCTTGTGATGGTCAAGTATCAAAACTTGTTCTTGTACCAGTAGACTCCTTTATCCTTTGAATTCTCGTCGGGCTCCACGTAAACACACTCCTTGGCCTCTCTCCACATTGCCTTGTAAAATGGTGTTCCATCAAACTGGTAGTACTCACCCAGAATCGGCTTGATTGCAATGGTCGCCTCCATTGCATGGTAATGTGGCATTGTTGAGAACAGATGGTGAGCGACGTGTGTATCTGTGATGTTGTGGAACACCTTGTTCAATATCCCGTAGTCCCTATCCACCGTTGCCAATGCTCCCCTCAACCAGTCCCACTCCGACGAGTCATAATGTGGCAGAGACGAATGGGTGTGCTGCAAATAGGTGATCAATACAAGGAACGCATTCACTATCAATAACGGAACCCCATACACGCATACAACCCAAGCCAGTCCCTTTGCGGCCACAAGCCGGAACAGCCCATATGTGACAGCAAGGATTCCGGCATCAGAAATGTATATCTGAATTCGTTCACGATTAGAGTAAATTGGGCCATAAGGGTCATAGTGGCAGGCAAAACGGTCATAGTGACGGCCAGACACATTGAATGTCAAGTATAAGGGCCAGCCAAGAGTGAGTGTAATCGCCAGTGTAAGGACGCGGCCAGGTGGGTTGTTGAGGTACTTAGAGAACCAAGAGATCTTAGATTTGGGCTTTGGAACAAAGACTTCATCACGGTCAAGCGATCCAGTGTTGGAATGATGGCGACGATGGCTGTACTTCCAAGAGAAGTAGGGGACAAGAAGGAAGGAGTGAAGGATGAGTCCAACAGTATCATCTAGCCACTGGTAATCACTGAATGCATGGTGGCCGCACTCGTGGGCGAGGACCCACACACCCGTGAGAACACAGCCCTGTAGGGCCCAGTAGATTGGCCAGACGATGTAAGGAAACGGGTGGGGTAAGAGGTGGAAGTAAGTGGTGGCGATGTAATTGAAGGCAAGAGCGAGGACTAGGTCGTAGGCAACATAGGAGAAGGATCGGACCACGGAGCGCTGGAAACAGTGAGATGGTATAGCTTTTTTAATCTGGCTCAGAGTGAATGGGGGTGTTGAGTGCGGGGCTCGGTGGAGGACATCATGTTCTTGCTTCTTTGTGGCGGGAACGGATATACGGCCACCGGCTCCCATTGTTGCTTCACACAATGGCACCTGAAAAACAGGTTCATTCGTTAAAATTTTCCAGAAAAAAAAAAAAATCATCAACGGAATACACAGAAAAAGCTAATCTAATTTTGATAACCATTTTCAAGACTTCAACAGAATCACAAATGCCATCACGCTTTGCGTAGTCGACAGGGACTTAAATAGTCCTAGGATCCTGTAGTGTTTGGTAAAAGGAAGATTTTAATGCGAGGCCCATGAATGCTTTGGTACCAAAGCAAAGAGAAATGTGAGGCAATCTAATAAAAGTTGGCAAACTATTACAATAAAAAAGATTTTCTGTCATGGGCCTAACCTTACCCAACTTTCTTTCTTTCTTTTATTCTTTTTGTAATTTCAACACCTTTGTTAAATGTATTGAGATCGGATCCCTAATGAGACGGAATAAAAAACAGTGCCAACACCCAAGGGGCCTTTTCGTTTGCACTCAACTCTGAAGTCAGAAGATCCCAGACTAGGCACACCCAGTGACAGTGAGCACATTGATACACAATCAATTATTCTTACGCTTTTCTTAAAAACTTATTTTTAATTCATTTCATTGATAGGTCGACCTTGTTTAGCTAATTGACTAAGTGTACCTTTACTGTTTGAAAATGGACGAACACTACCCTTACTATTTCAAACAATTGACTAACTCTATTCTCACAGTTAGGTTCTATTAATATTTCATAAAACTCATAAGCACATGACATAATTTTTTAAAAACCCAATTTTACCTTTCACCTCTGACCTCTCCCTCTTTCATTTTACCATCCACCTCTGTCCCCCTCTTTCATTTAGATCTCTCCCTTTCGCTCTCATTCTCTTCTCAAAAACTATCAGAACTTTAGAGATTGAATGATATAGGGGAATCGCAGTTATGACCTTTCCCCTCTTCCTTTTCCCTCTCGTTCTCTTCTCCGGAACCACCGGAACCGTCGGAACTACAAAGGTCGGGTGCTATATGGCCATTGATTGCCGCATGGACTGCAAAATATTCAGATATGGCTTATCCGTAAATTTTACAGCCACTGGCCCACCACCTTGTCCCGGATTCAGCCATTTTGACCCACTTGTCAATCCTTGAAGATGAACCTAGCTGTCGCTGCTTGCTCATCCCAGCACGGCATCCCTTCCGCTTCGCTAGAGAAGAGCTGTCAATCCCTGAAGATGAACCTAGCTGTCACTGCTTGCTTATCCCAACACGGCATCCCTTCCGTTCTACTAGAGAAGAATGATTGCATAGCTTCTCTTTGGCAGTACAGGACTTACGATCGATTAATGCTTCACCTCCCCAAACAGTTCTATGAGCTCCCGTTATTGGGCTTCCCGGAGGACTTCCTAGAGTACCCATCAAGGCAACAGTTCATCTCTTACAATGAGTCATATGCTGCCAAGTTTTCTATCAAGCTCAGGTTCCGACAGTGGGTCAAAACGGCTAAGTTTGACTCGAGTTTTGGACTTTGGAGGGTTTGAACCTAGGACATCAAGTACTTCTCCTGGTGGGTCATTGTTGCTTCCAAGGAAAAGCCTGTAATTCCTAAAATTTCAGGGATTGACAAGTTCCATGGCCTTGTTATGCATTCAGGGATTGACAAGTTGCGTTGCTTTAGAGATCTCTGTTTTGGATCAGTGAGAGGCATCGAAACTCAATAACTAGCTTATATTGCAAGGAAACTTCATTTCAAGAGAAGCATCAATCGGCTCAGTGAAGAGGAAGTGGAGAGAACCCTCACAGGTGGATGCTACGACGAGGGGTTTTTGAGGGATTTGAGTCAAGGGTTGAAATTTTGGCAAGAGATGCTCACGAAAATTGAAGGTAGAGGTTTGATGGGTTCGAGCGCTTCAGGGTCTAAATCTAGATCAATGGAACATTAGAATCGGAGTTGTGGAGCGTGAGAACAGCGAATCTCTTAAATGCAAAGAGGGGAACGGAAAAATGAAAATGAAAATGGAGCAGAGAGATGGGGAATTGTTGGCAGGTGGTCGACGATGGGGTTACGGCATGGAGAGAGAGAGAGAGAGATGGGGCATCATCGACAGATATGCTTCCAGCGACTGAGGGGATTACTGTCGCCGGCCTATGATCACCGAGAGGGCTGATTTTTACACAGATTAGAAAAACATACCCAAACGATAAAATCAAGTTTAAAGTATCGGAAACTTAAAATGTATAGGAAAGATACGTATCGGATACACATAAATATGCTAAAAAAACTCAAATAAATCCTAAAAATATATTAATAACTATAGTTACAAGTTTTATATGACTGTAAATAAGTTATTTAAAATTAAAAAAACTGTAATTTAATGGTCTACATAAAATTCAAGATATCGGGACACACTTAGTAACTATTCAAAAATGATGAAATAACTAAAACATGAATAAACAAAAAAAAAACAACTAAAGTGTATATTGATATATATTAGTTTTAAAACAATAAATATAGTTTATCTTTATATTTATTAATACATGAATTTTAATAATTAATTCTAACATTTATTGTAAGCATACACTAAGAAAAAGAGAATTTATTTAAAAATAAAAATGCATAAACCTATAACAAGCAAATGGGTGTGGCTTAGTGGTGAACCTCCAGTTGTTAAAGCCTAATGTCCAAAGTTTGAATCTTGCTATTGCTAAGTTTGTAGTTTTATACAAACAAAACGAATTTAATGAGGAGGGTTATTAATTAATGAAATTAATGAGAAGAGAATTCCAATTAGGTGCTAAAATTGAAATTTAAATTTAAAATTATGCATTAAGAGAGAAAGGGACTTGTATCATATCATACATACATAAGGGTGGTTTAAGAAATTTACCCTATAAAATAAGCCAATAAGGTAAAAGTTTAAAATTTTATTTTTAATTCATTTCATGGGGCTGAGCATAAGGCAAAATTACTTAAAAGTGCCTACCAGATCCGAACTCAAATAATTCACCTCTGTTATTAACCACTTGGTTATGGAGATAAATAACGTGGAAACGCAGAAGCATGTGGATACTTGTTGTTTGATTGAAAATCTATACGATTATACAACACAAGAAAAATGCACAAGTTATTTACCATGGTTTTTGACCGGACCGGATGGTCAGACCAAAAAAATTGGGAACCAGTCAGGTGATTAATTCCATTTTATCCCATAACTGTTATTTCCCCCAAAACCGTTGATTTGGTCAGTAAACCGCTAATTTGAATGGTCAAACCGTTTGAACCATTCAATGGTTTGGCTGTTTTTTATTTTTTTATCAGAACGGAGTATTCACTCAATTTGAATAATCAGACCGTTCGACTAGAAACCAGACCCCTAACCGGTTCGTTGTTCGGATTAATTTTAAAAACCTTGTTATTTATACTTTGTTTGAACAATCAAGATCCTTACTTGAAATATCTGAATCGTCTATATTTCAAAAAACAATGTGTGGCAACTAACAAACGACGAGGAGCCCGGCTGGCCTATATTTTCCATACTAAGCAATAACTTGTGATCAAGGTTCAAAATATCGATACGCTGATAGGGGCATATCGAGCGTTTCGATACTCATTTTTTACCTTATTATTATTATTTTTTTTCAAAACTAATTCGGGGAAGCCGGTCTAGGACCCCTCCATCCCCTGAACCAGTCAGACCCTCGATACACCCACTATAAGGGCGTATCGAAAGTGTCCCGGAATGATACGTATCAACCGATACATAACAATAATTTGAACCTTGCTCGCGATGAGTGTTTATTACTTTTTTGGTAGTGTAACAGTTCTTTATTTCATATATCTATATTCAACGATAAAGGAAAGGGGATGGGTAGCCCCATGAAGCAAATATATATATATTCGACGATAAGAAGACCACCAACAAATGCAGCCCAACAATAAAGGAGATATTTAAGAGAGCATAAGTAGGTACGTCAATTTTTATACAGAGATGGGTTTTGATTGTTCAAAAAAAAGATATATATACATATGAAGACCACCAACAAATGCAGCCCAACAATAAAGGAGATATTTAAGAGAGCATAAGTAGGTACGTCAATTTTTATACAGAGATGGGTTTTGATTGTTCAAAACTCTTTTGTTACCATATTTTTCTCGCATCATAGTTTTTACCGTTTGAATGGCACAGATTAACAACAATAACCTCCGTCTAAAAGTTGGTGGTTGATAAATAGGAATGTAAATGGATCAGATTAAATGATAAATCCAATGTAACTCAACCCTATAGATTGGGATTTACCATTCAACCCCTTGGGTTCAGATTTTGCTGACTGGGTCATGATATTGATACCCTTCATAATAACCCTCCTCATGTCTCCATGATGTTTCATACAAAGTAGGTCCATTTTATTTGTTTTTTCATAGACAAATAACACAAAGTTGAATTTAAAGCAATGTTTTTGAAAACTGAGCTGGACTTTTGTCTTCAGATCATAGGTCACTTATTCGATTAATCGGAACAAATGGGATAGACTATTCTACATCAACACTATGAATACATACTTTATTAATAAATAATGTTTTACATATAATATATTTATTATTTTATATTTAATTTATGTTTTAATTTTTTTATTTATAAAAAATATTAAAAATGTGATTTTAGGCCAAAAATTTGTTTTATTGTTAAAATAGCAAGTCAAGACACCTACGGCTCTTTGGAACATATAGACTTCAAAAAATTATCTAAAAAAAAAAACAAAAAAAACACCCCAACTGAACATCAAAGTGCAAAGTCATGGCATCTAAAAGTTTGCACATATATTAAATGTGCAAACCTGAATTTGGATTTGCTCCTCATACATCCACTTCATAGTATGTCCTTTCTGCATATCGGGAACATCTCCCGTATTTGCATTTATTATTCATGGGGAGATGTTCCCAATACAGGGTGGGATGTAAATATGAAGTCAGTGTGAGGCACTCTCTATGAGTAGCAGATCCCAATTACTGCAACCTGCAACTTAGCCACTGAATCAAATAATCAACTGCTGAACCACCTAAATTAAACAATTATTGACAAAATCAACAATGGGTTGAAAACACTGATCTAAAAAAACCCTCTAATTTGCAATTTTTCCCATATACACTCAAACTAGTGCAAATAAAATTCTCTTTTTTAAAACCTGATAATACAAAAAATGCCAATAAGGTAAAATCGCACTCCCGATTAATTATTCAACAATTGTACTAGATTTTGATCTAAAGCCTCTTTGACAGATATCGTCATTGGATTGGAAATCTATTACAATTATTGATAATTAATGGCGCGGACAATTTTAGCATACTATTTAATGTACAATGAAAGCATGTCCATCTGTCAATTGTGTGTTAAAAAGGACCTCTAATCTCTTTCACACACAGACAATCAAGTACAAATCGCTTTTATTAGTCACCCCACCCATTTATCATTAATGACATTTGCTGAGGCAATCCCTTTGCCAAAGGGAGGCACAGAGAACCTAACATTTGAATAAAAAGATCACAGAGATTAGGTAGGAGTTGGCCTTGGTTTTATAACACTTCTATTTTTGTGCATGGGGTATTTGAGGAAACGCCAAATTTTTGTTTTTCTCAATACCCGTGTTTTTTGAAATTAAATGCTGATCTGTCACACTTTAATGAGTATTAATCTGAGGTGGAGAATAAAAATATTTAAAATGAAATTCAACCAAACAACAAAATCAAGAAAAGTTTAAAATATAAAACATTTAAAATGAGAAAATATAAATAAACATTTAAAATGAAAAAACACAAATAAATGGCCACCCACAAATGTAAATGAAATCAAACACCCTCTAAATTTAATCCTCACATAATCGTCTTTACACTATCATGATAGACTTTTTGCAGCCGTGTATTGAAAATATTTTCATATTTGCATAATTTTTTTCCATGCCCCCCTGCCTTCAAAATCCCCACAATCCCTATTGATGATTGATTCACTTATATTTTGACCCATTAACCCATCACCCTTGTTTAATTAACTTTTGCCCCTTATCTATGTTAATTATTATTTGACCCCTCTAACATAAAATCCCATCTCCGCCCCTGAGGAGCAGATTGGAACTCAAGGGGAAGGGGTAAATATAACCAGGGCATGAGGGCAGGGCTCCATTCCATTGTCTCACACCCCACCTATAATCCTGCCACTATTTCTAATTGTACAAATCTACAAACCTGTAAATATCCATGCTGTGAAAAAAACATATAAAACCCTCTAACAAATGTATACAGGCCCACTATATTTCTTTATTGGGTAAATTATATACTATCATCTTGTACTTTAGTGGGCAATTATCCCCTGAATCTTCATTTATCAAAAAAATTATCCCCTGAATCTACAGATTCCAACAAAGACACCCTCTCTATTAATTTGAGTGGATGCAATTATTTTACTAAAATATTCATTTGAAAAACTTTATAAAATAGAAATTCCAATAAAAAAATCAAGAATTTTTCATAAAAAAACTGAAAATGTAATAAATATAATATGCAACTAATATCAATTAAACTAGTAACAAATAGAAATCGAAAAAAATCTAAACAATCACTCAAACAAATACTTTAGGGATTTAAAAATGTTTAAGTATTATCAGAATTTGAAAGTTTAATAGCCACTGCCCAGAGTGCAGGGCGGTACCCCGTTTGTATAGTTGTACATTGAGGAATCTCTTGTATTTATATGTTATCATTCATGAGAAAGGCTGTATTTGGTTGCAATGCAAATAAATTTGCACTGTTGTAAAATTATGGCAGTGCAAATGATTTTAAGTGTAAATTTTGACCTATTTTTATTTTAAATTTTGGTTTGTTTTATTTGATTGCAGTATAAATGAAGTAGTTTAAGACATGAAACAGAATAAAGCAAACTCCAAAACAAAATTAAATGAAAATTTACATTTTTCTCATTTGCACTCTCATGCATTTGTACTAGTGCAAATAAATTTGCACTGCAACCAAACACAGCCCTTTTCGTAGGTAGATCGTAGATGTGTGGTAGCGACTAGGGATGTAGGAACAGAAAGTGGGTAGCAGATCCGAGTCCGATCGAAACATCTTTCATGTAACCAGCGATGGCATGGATTGACAAAAAGGGACACGTGTATCGCACCTAACACGTGGTAACAACGACCACTGATGTGAGTGTGAGAATGGTGTTTTTTCCGTTTCTGTGGAACCAGTCTGCGAGATCACGCATATGCATCGCTCTTTGACGACGAATTCAAACTTCAAAGCGGCTGGCCGCTGGCCGGGTTTCTGTGATCAAAGTTAGACGGATCGATAGAAAAACTAGATCACGCTAAATCCAACGGCTTAGATCTACTAATAATAACATTTCTGCTTCCCTAAACTAGAAATCGAACGGCAAAAGATCAAACAGCCCTTATGCACAGAAGAGTGAAGCCTTTCCTTTTCCTCTCAGGTGTCAGAGAAGCAGAGGGGAGTTTTTATTCTTTTCCTACTGGAGGAAATGTTCCACGGTATCCGGAGAGAAAGATGAACAGCCTAGGGACCTCTATCTTTCGTCGTTGACACGGAGAGGACAGAGACAAATGAACTGCTTATTCATTTTTTTTTATTATTTTCCATTATTAAAAGTTAAAACGCGAATGAAATCCAGAAGAGAGATTACCGATGACCGATCCTAAGAGGCAAAGTGCAAAGAAAATCAGCACAGAGACAACAATGGAGATCGAAAAAAAAAAAAACATTTGTAGAAAAATAAAGGTTCCTGAGATCCAGAAACCTCAAACACTGCATAAAATGAAAAGAAGCACTGAAAAAGCTAAAACCTAATCCCCCGGTTCGATTTTTGGTGGCTGAAAGCCTGAGACAAAGAAGAAGTTTCTTCTTGAGCCACCGAAACCGTTTAGCATAATAGACAATATGTTATTCAAAGCATTATCATCTCCACCTCAGAAGGGCTTGTATGCGGTCACCATGGCAGAGAAAACTTACTACATTCGAAATGCCAAACAAGAACAAAAGATATCGAGTCTATTTACTAACAAATTATAGAACAAGAAGAGGGAAAAGGAATACCTGAAGAAAAGAAAGGAACACCTCCGACGCCTTGTCCTGTGAGAGGCTCTCTCTCTCTCTCTCTCTCTCTCTCACTCACGCCGGGTTGCTCGCTGCTCTTTCTCCCGTTTTCTTCCTATGTATTTGTTTCTCCTGCTCCGGTTCCGTATTTAAGCTTTTCTTTCCCTCCTCGCTAAGTAGGATGGGCCCAGCCCAGCCCAGCCGATACATGGCCATGTGTTTCCTTTTAATTGATCAACTGATTTTCTCTTGCTCAAACCCTGGCCTTGCTGCCGTAAACAACTGTATTAAGTTTTTGGGCTGATTGCCCCACCCCCAATTATTAAATATATCTTTTTTTTGGTAATAATTATTAAATATATCTATTGATTATAAATTATGAATAATTTATTGATTATTCAATAGATTACTGAAATTATTGAAAATTTATTGATTATTCAACTAATAAATAATTATTGAAAATTAATAATTGATTATTCAGAAAATTAGTGTAGTTCTCATCATTACATTTTCAGAAAATTATTGATTAATTTTAATTGAAAATAACAGATAAGTTAGTGCAATTTTGGAATTTTATGACATTTTTTAATTTTTGGAATATTATCGGAAATTATTGTAATTATTGAAAAATTATAATTATGTTATCATAATTTATAATTATAATTATCAATGTAACTATAATTATTACACTAAAATAATTGTTAGTGTAGTTTAACTAATTCCTTTTTTCATAATCTCAAATAGTAATTCCCATTATCTAATAATTTTTGAAAAAATTAATAATAGAAAAAACTGTAAATCTTGATTTAAAATAATGGAAATTAATAGTAATAATTATTGTTACATAATTAACAATTTTCCATTTTGTACCAATTCCAATAATGTAATTATTAAATTACACAAATTTCCATTATTTAAAATAATAATTACTACAGAATCATAAATTACAATAAAATCTATTATTTGAAATTACTGTAATTACAGTAATTTTGAAATACAGAAACTACACTAATAGTTATTAGTGTAATAATTACTCTCACGTAGGATCTACTCGCACGAGTAGATTCCATTTTCTGGATGCAGAGAACATCCATTCCGTATTAATATATATATATATATATATAAGATTATTTTTCTATATATTTCTTCCTCTTAGTGGAAATGGCTAATGATTTTTGCAACACTATTCGTGGGTTGACGTCAGTCATGATAATGGTGTTGAATCAGATTGTATTTGTATTTTGTAGGTACAAATTAGTTGCCACTGATGGCATGAGCTTGGGGTATGGTTGCCTGCAACAACTTTCTTCGCTCCTCCCCCTCTTGCTATCTTTGTAGAAATGTTAAATTTTTCTTTTTTTTTTATATTTTTTATTTGATTTGATCAAAACCAGTAGTTATAGGGAGGATATATGAATTTTGGGTTGACAATTTTCTTCTTCTTTTTTTCTCAATTTTGAATTTCTGGATTTTGGTTGGTCGTTACTTTTTTTTTTTTTCTAATCTTAATTTTTAATTTGACGAAATCCACTTCCAAGTCTTGATCAAAAAGTATTTTTTTTTAATTAGTATACCCCTAATTTAGACAAACTTTAACTTGCAAATATTTGGGTATCCTTTAAAACTCTTTAATGTGGTTTTTTATTTGATGGAAACCATTAAAAATTAACAAGGATGGTCATCTTCCAACCATTCCTTGGCATTAATGTTAACTACTTTGATCTCAATGGCTATAATCATCCCTATGGCTCCATTTGGAAGGAGTACAAATACAAATATATAGAGTGCAAAATCTTATATTTAGTATTATTTTGTATAGATTTGTATTGTGTATATTTGTATTTATACTTTTTCTAAACTGAGCCTATATTGCTAATTTCCAGAGAAACAATATTTTTTTATTTTCTTTGTATAATCATTGCTATATATTGACTCTAAGCATGAGACCTATTTTTCTACTTTCCACCTCTATCTAAACTTTTTCCGCTAAAGACTAAGCATCATTGCTATATATTGACTATGTGCAAACTAGTCAATTTAGCAAAAAATAAATTAGTCAATTTAACAATGTATATTGTTATTCTTATTTATTTCTAATTGATCCCATTTCCATCTTTATACTTTCTAAAAGAAAATTCTACGAGAAAATAGAAATTAAAACCAAAGACAAATAATGCTTATCCAACTCATTATTCTATTTTTTATCTATACTTTTATTTTTTTTATATATTATTGATTAGAATAATTGTCGTGTAATCAAATATTCTTTAAGTTGTAGTAATCTTTGCAGATTAGTATTATGAAAAAAAATAATTTTTCATACCAACTTTTCTTCTTTATTTTATTTTAAGGAATATCTTTCATATTAATATTTTTAACTACTATTTATATTTTCACATTAGATACATGTGTGTAGCACCCCTTTCTACTCGTGTAAATAAATAATAATAAAAAAAGAAAACAAAACCCAAGCCCAACATAAAACGAGAAATCTAAATGTGGACCTACTTGTTTGTTTCCCATTGCTATCAGGGCCAGAGTATTTTGTTTTGTTTTTTTCATTTTTGTGTGTGTGATGGGGCTACCCAATGGGAATAGCCCATCCCCCATTCCTAAAACCCATTTGACACGGGTAGCTATGGTACCAACTCTACCCAACAGTGAAGTTGTGTCCCTACCAATTGGGCCAACAATGAGTAAGGGGGATTTAAGGATGGGGATGGTCTACCCTAGCCCTGTGAAAAAACAAAAGGAAGTTTCATTTTATTCGAGTGTAGCCTTGGGATATTTGTAACAGCGAAAGAGTAACCCAAGGTGGACGATTGAATTGATTCCTACCCTGAACCCTCAATTTGGGAGAGGAGTACAGCAACTTGATTTCCTTTTGTTTTTGTGTATGTATGTGTATGGATGATTGGATTTTTTTTTTTTTTAACAAAAAAGCTGGCATGTTAGAAAAAAAACCAATTATTATTAAAAAAAGGTTTTTAAAAAGGATAAAAGAGCTATACAGATTTGACTATGATACTTAAAAGAAAAAAATTTATAACCAATCAATTAGTATCATATATATATCTATATCTATATCTATAAAATTGATACTTGCCTTGGTTTTCCTTTAGGTCATAAAAATTAAATTTTAATAACATATGATACTAATTCATATCTTTAACAAAGTTCAGACTTACATCTCATACCCACAAACTTTTCCTACATTTCTATTCACAATACATTTCCATATGTATTAGGAACATCTCTACATGAATAACAAGGGGGATATTCCTAACGCTTGTCAAATGCCAATAATGTCACAAGGGTAGGGATATGGAAAAATTTGTGGATAAGAATCCGAGTTCCAAAATTTTAGGGAGGGTTGATTAATCAATGCTCTTTTTGACATAAGCCTCTCTTGTCATTTCAAATAAACTAGCAAGGAAGCCCCTCTATCGTAAACGAAAAATTTTAAAATGCCATTTGGAGATGCATTTTTTTACACCTATTAGGAGAGATACCATAGTTTTAAAAATGACCTGGAAACGGAACTGTTCTAGCTACCAACTTTCGGGTTGATAATTTGACCATCTAGTTTGAACAGATGGCCGTTTTGACAAGAAAATAAAAAATATTTAAAAATAAAAAATGGCCAAAAATCATTGGATGGGTCGATGGATCAACGGTTCGACCGCCCAAGTCAACGGGTCATTGACTAATTCAATGATTTTTGGCCAGGGACCGGGTTTGAGGTAAAATGGAACCAGTTGCCTGAAAGGTTCCTAGGCCGAATGGTCCGACCATCCAATCATGGGAGATACAACCGGTTGCTTGAACGGTTCGAAAACCATGGGAGATACAATAATAAACTAGGTTATATTTTTTAAAATAAATTAACTATAACTATATTATTATGAATAATAAACAACCACGTAGAACCAGTCTTGAACTGATTATTTAATTGGGATCAAATCATAGACCTCATTATATTGAAAACAATAGTCAAAGTAATACTAATTTATTTTTATGTTAATAAGTTAAACATTTTTAACTAATATTATCTTATTTATTATTTATCAAATTTACTATTTCAAATATGAAACATGATAAAAAATACAAGAAAGATAAAAAATCATTTATTTCATAAAATGTTTGATTTTGGACCTGAATCAATTTTGGACAAGTAAGAATGAGAATCAATCCAAGAATTAATCTAGACAAAATCTTGGAACCAAAACCTTTATAATTATGTTCAGTCAATTTAACTCCATCAAGATAGACCCAACCCATTGGTTTAACCCTAGTTTTTCTTAAATAAATTAAATAAATAATAAAATTCTATTGGGATGGGACTGGTATAGGCTATCTTGAACCAAACCCAACCCCGTTGACAACACTAAATATTGGGCTTAAGGGGAGAGAATAATTTGTTAGTAAATTATTTCTAAATAAATAAATAAATGTTTATGGAAATCTATCTCTTAATGTCACATCTCTTTTATTCTACCAATTTATTTAATTTTTTTAAATAAATAAATGTTTAGATAATAATAATAAAATAAATAAATGAATAAATAAAAGTTGAGATAAAGAATAGGAGAGAGAGAGAGAGAGTTTAGAAAGAAGAGGTATGACATTTTATTTATAGGATGCCATAATGCCAAGTAATTGTATGTGGCACTACTGCAATTTTTGAATGCCATTGAGTTAATTATATAAGGAGATTTATCTTATATGTGATATTGTTGTAACTTTTGAATATTATAGAGGCAATTATATAGGAATGTTTGTCTCATATGTGGCATTCTTATAATTTTCCAAACAAAGAAAGGTGAGAGAAAAGAGAGAATAAAGAAAAGAAGGGAGTGAGAAACACGTGCCAATAATATATGGAACAAAAAACATATAAGTGTCAACCTCACAATGTTGTTGTACACCCTCCCAATGCTTGAAGTATATAGATAGATATTGAAACATTCCCTAGTCGGGTACATAGGATAAAAACCTTCAATCCCGCAAGATTCATTTACATGTGATCTTATACATGTTTATTTATTATTATTTTTTTGAAAATCCAATTTTCCCTCCCTTCAGCAAGCTAGAGAAATATTCAAAAAAAAATATTTTTTTCAGGGTAAAAGACGAAAAT